CTCATGCAGGACATGCACACTGACACTCCGTTTGTGTTATTTAGCAAGCGTTTCTGAAAATGCACAATCAGGCCACACTGGTTTTTTAATGAGAAAAAAATCTGAATTCACCAAACAGTGCTATATAAATAGCCATGGGACTATTCTCAAGCTTTTACATTTCCCTTTGTCCTTCCTAATTTTATAGAATGCAATTTACTTGCCAAAAACATTAGAGACTATAATGCTCTGTATTTTAATGCCCCCCAAAAAGTCCCCTGGCAACAACAGCAGCCCCAGGCCTGCGGCAGGGCACACTGTACTCTACGGGCATGCGGAGAGGGCTCCCCAGGCCTGGAGCAGGACGATGACTCCGATGCCGCCTGGAGTGTGGACCCCCCAGTCTCACCCTGCCCGGGGACACAGCGGGGCCTGGAGTGAGCAGGAGGACTGCTGGCTCCAAGGCCGGCCGGAGATCACAATGCGCCTCCTGGGCTTGTTTGCCTCACATCCAGAGACACACGAGGGGCAGCCACCCACATCCCAGGGCCGTTGAGGGCTAACAGGACGGAGGCGGAGGCGGTGGATGTGGGAAGGTGCTTTCTGTCAGGCCTGGCCTGGAGCCTTCCCAGCCCCTGGCATCCAGGGGCCTCACGGGCAGAAACCTGTGCGGGCTGGCCACCCCCACAGCCAGGCCGGTGCGCAGAGCTGCGACACAGCCGCTGCCGTTCCTGGGCAGCTCTCACCTGTGCCCAGCAGGCGCGGGGAGACAGGCCGGCAGCTCGGACCGCGACCCCTGTGCCTATTTTCCCTTCTCATTTCCTACTCTGTTCTTTGCACAACAAGGCCAAACACACCCTGCCCGCAACAGCTACATAGTAAGCTGGAGCCGGGAAAGGCTGCAAGCTCGACTGTCCTCTGCCCGCAGCACCGGGAGCAGCGAGTACAGAACGGGACAGAGGGCGAGGCCAAGGGGGTGTTCAGAGAGAAGGGGTGGCCAGGCTCTGTGTGCCCAGCCTAGGCCCAAAGCCTGAGCCCTCACTCACCCCGCCTGGGAGGGCAGGGCGGCTGGTCCATGCCTGTGCCCAGTGCTGGGGTTCCACCAGGCTGACTGCTTGGTTTGTTGAGAACGTTCCACTGCTAAAAAGAAAACCCTCTGAGAGCCACTGCCCCAAGCCCAGTCTTAAGCAGTGCCCTGGCTGGCATCTGCCGGGGGCCACACACCAAATCCATCACCCACGGAAAAGCGCTCGAGTCGCTACTGTGCTGGGCCCTGTGGTCACCAGCCCCGGCCTCACCCAGGTCACTCTCTGGCGGGGGCCGACCACGCAATGGCACAGATAAACAGTGCAAAGCCCTGGACGCTGGCAGCGGTGTGGATAGAAACGAACACTGGGCTTGGAGCAGGCCAGGAGGAGCTTGCTGACAGCCAGGGACCAGGCTGCGTCCAGGGCCGGCCTCAGCAGGTGGGGGTGCTGGTGCCCGGGACAGCAGAGCAGAATGAAGGATGGAGCTGGGTCTGCAGGGGGTCCCGGGACGGCAGTGGCTGCGCAGGGCTTGGGCAGAGCGCAGGCGCCAAGCGAGCACACAAGGGTGGGAGGCCATGGGGCCAGCGGGCCTGCAGCGAGGCTGAGGGCAGGGTGGGCCAGGTGAGAGCGTGCGAAGAGAGGTTCCACGGGCATGCCATGGAGCCCCCAAAGCCGTCTGGCCCCGTCAGGGGCCTCATGGCTGTGCCCCTTGCTGGTGTCTGCTCTTCCCCACTCCGGAAGACGCCTCGTCGTGGGAGACCCAGGGTCACCGAGAGCAAGGCTCTGTGGGGCAGCCTGGGGACGCTGTCTCTAAAGGGGCTTCGCCTGTCAGTGTCCGTGTGTCTGGGCGGGGTCTTCCCACAGAAGACAAGATGGGGTCCTGTACCTGGCCGGTCAGGTGACCCCAGGCGGCTGCGGCTGGGAGGTGCCATCTGCATGTGGGGACCACCCCTGCCGGCTGGGCACCCCCAGCCCTCTGCAAGGCCGGCGTGTGCCCTGCGTGTGCCCTGCGTGTGCCCTGCGTGTGTGAGCGATGATGCTGGGACAGGTTTTTCTGCTCCTCTACCTGCCGCCAGTCTCCTCAGGGGGAGGTAACTCTGAAACTCCCCACACGGTGACCCGAGAAACCTTCTCCTTCCAAGAACAAGGAGGAGGACAAAGGGGCTGCGGGAGGGACCTGGAGAAGCTGAGCTCCGGCAGGCACCTGGCCTCGCCTGCCGACACCTGTGCCACACCCAGGACAGAAGGCGCAGCTCCTGGGCAACTGCAAGGAAGGCCACACTTTCATGTATTTTACTCATTTTTTTTTTTTAATTACTCTGCAGGACTGGGACTGAAACGCAGGCCCTTGAGCACACCAGTAGGGCGCCGTACCACCGACCCTCACCCCAGCGGACTTGTACCCGCTCCCTAACAACTTGAAGTCCCCAGTGACTCCCCACAAGCTGTTGCCAGCCGGAAGCCTCTCAGAGCTCAGATGTTCCTCCCTCTCAGAGTCAGAATCCACTGCCCTCGGCCCACTCCCTGGGGGCTGGAGCCACAGTGACAGCTACAGCTGAAAGCCACAGCGCGGGCGGGGAGAGTAGGTCATCAAGCACCCGGCCTGGTGTGGACCAGGTCCACACCCTCAGGGGCGTGGGCACGGCAAGAGCACCCCGTTCATCACCAGAGAGCACAGCACATGGGGTCAGGCTGGGAGCCGGGAATGGGCAGCTCCCAAAGCTGCCAGGCCCTTCTGGCCTGGGAGGAACATTTCCCACAGAGGCAGCCAGGCCCTCGTGAGCCTCAGATGGCCTTCACAGGAAGACAAACACCCAGTTTCTACCCAGCCCCCCTCAGCAAGCACCTGGATGGATGTGGGCACAGGACAGTGCCGGGTTCTGCAGGAGCTGGGGTCTGGCTGAGGCTGGGGCTCTGCAGCAGGGCAGGAGCTGTTCTCCTCCATGCCTGAGCCCAGGGGGTGAGTGACCATGACCAGCGTCCTCACCTGCCAGATAATGTCCAAACCCTGAGAATTAACAAGTACATCAAACCAGATAACCAACACGCATGCATGCGTGTGTGTGTGTGTGTGTGTGTGTGTGTGTGTGTGTGTGTGGCACTAGGGGTTGAATCCAGGGCCTTTACACTGAGCTACATCTCTAGCCCTTTTTTTCCCCTGGTACCAGGAATTGAACTCAGGACCTTGCACTTGCCAGGCAGGCATGGCACCACTGAAATACATCCCTGGCCCCTTTTATAAAGTTTCATTTCATCCTATTTTATTTTTTGAGAGAGGTCCTCACTAAATTGCTGAGGGACACAGGCCGGACTCTAACTCTGAACCTTCCGCCTCAGAGAGCTGGGATTATAGGAGTGCACCACCACACCCAGCCCAGAAAACTTTCCCTCCACTCTTATAATCAAAAAAGAAACTGAAATTGGGAAAACAATAGAAGTGAAAAGTGACTAAAACCCACACAGCGTGTGGAGCGGTCAGCATCTACCCACCCTTCCCTGCCGGGAAGACAGCTGGGCCCTGGGAGCCCCAGGGCCAAGGTGGAAAGCCCCAGGGGCAGGGGAACCACCTGCCGGACACCACTTCCTCAGAAAGGGCACAGGGAGCCCCCGGGGCTGGGACACAGGGGCTTCCCACACTTGGAAAGGATAACCATTTCACACTGCAACCGACACCCACCGTGCACCCAGCCGGGGCTCCCGTCTCCTGGAGAACACTTCGAAGAGGTGAGTACATGATATAGAAGCGGGGCATGGGTGCAGCTCAGAGGTATGCTGCTTGCCAGCACGTGAGGCCCTGCACTGATCCCCAAGCAAGGCAGAAGAACCAGACAAAAGACGATGCATGATTGAGAAAACCTCTCAGCTTTATAAATTCCATGGCAAAGTGAATGCCTTCTACCAGAAAGGAGAAGTCAGGCCCACTGGCCAGGAAGCTGAGCAGAACCTAGCAGCCCTGGCTTCCTCCTGGGCTGGGCAGTGCAGCCTGTTTCCCCCGCATCAAGGAAGTTTCTCTACTCCCAGTTTAAAACTGATTAAATGACATGAGCCGCCCTGCACATAACACAGGAAACACTACGCCTCTTATCCAACAGCCTCCAGGCTCCGGGATTAGCAAGTGTGTAATACGACACACCCTCCTCATGCTTCCCACGGCCCCTCCGCCAGGTGACAGCAGCCCTTTGTATGGCCAGGGGCTGAGGCCAGCGTGGCTGGAGACACAGGAGATCCCAGAAGACCACGCTCAGCTCCTCTGTAGCTCACTCCCATGCTGCTGCCCACCCCGCACGGGAAGGAAAACAGAAAGCAGAAGCCTTCAGAGACACAGGTGCCCCAGCTCCCAGAAGACAGAGAGACTGCAGAGACGGCATCTGCAAACTCCTGAGCACAAGGACTACAAAAGCAGATGTACTTGGATGTTAAAGAAAAATCACCGAACTAAAATGACAAAGATTACATCAGAGAAATCTTCAGTTGGAATAAGACACATCTGGCCACTCCCCTTTCGGATCAGTCCCACTATAAGAATCCCTATGCGCAAACTCTGAAAGACAGAGAGTCCGGGTCCTCTCCACCCCACTGGCTCAGCTCACCCACTGCCCTCTCTCCAAGAGGGAGGCCTCGAAGCTGAGCGTCTCCCTCAGCTTTGCAGAACTGCTCAAATTCACCAAGAGCTGGGAAATCTTAACTGGCCGGTTTAAAAGCTGGTTGTACAAGGGAATGGCAAGCGTGTTCTAACTTGTCACACAGGCATGCAGCAGGGTGCCCGGGCCCGGCTGCCTGGGCGCTCTGTCTCCTTTTCTCTGCTCAGCAGCTTCTGGGGCACACGTGGTGGCCACCTGAAAGCACCCCAAACCCACGCGGCGAGACCCGCCCTCACAGGGACAGAGAGAGGAGAGCACACATCTTTCATGCATGTGTCAGAGGGCAGACAGTTCCACAACTTGAAAACTTTGTTAAAAATAATAAAAATATACATCAGAAATTGTGACTTACCCCCATCAGACACAGTTGCAGACTGAAAGAAAAGAGAGAGAGACATGAGTTAATTAGACCTCATGACAACCAGGGAACAGCACAAGTCCATGGAGGCACCGAGGGACTCGAGGCTGGGACCGATCCGGCAGGTGTCTGAGGGAGCAGAGGCGGAGTAAGCCGGCTCCCAGGTCCGGAGCCAACCCGCCCGCCCACCCCCAAGGAGGAAGTCGCCATCATTTTCATGTGAAAAGAATCCCAGTGTGTCTGACATCACAGTTTTAGGAAGAGCCAGTGACTCAGGGACCCTGTGTCAGCTTGTGGGCTCCGGAAGTGCCTGTCTGCCCCAGGGCACCTGCCCAGGGCACAGAGGCCCACGCCGGCCCTGCTCCCCTCCGTGCCCACCATCGCCAGCCCCCCAGGGCCAGACCTGGGCCCAAGAGGGGGAAAGCATGGGCCAGTGCAGGGAAAGGGGCATCCCAGCTGCCCCAGAGGTGGGAGGGGCCTCCAGGCCTGCACAGTGGCACTGAGGCCAGAAGCTCGGAGAGAGCAGCCCCGCGGGAAAACTGGCCTCCAGGGTGGGCAGCATGGCGGGGCCGCAGAGCTAGTCTGAGGATGGCAGGCTGGGCCACCTGGCATAGGAGGGGCGCCCAGGACACCGGCCACCAGAACTCTGTCAGGGAGACAGAGTGATCCTGGACCAGGACCCAGCGGGACAGGAACTTGAAGAGCCAGGCGAGGGAGGCAGGTGTTCCTGGGGAGCAGGCAGAGGGCGCTAGGAGCCACTGTGGCAGGAGAGGGGCAGGAGGGCGCAGGAGGAGCAGGCCTGGTCCTGGCTGCGGTCCTGGACTGAGAGTGGCAGAAAAGCAGCTGTGCAGCCCAAGGCCGAGGCCCAGCTGTCCAGTGCCTTGTGTCATGCTGGCATGGCCCGGGCCACCCTCGAACCCACGGCAGCCACCCTTCAGGACTCCTCTGCTCCCACAGCACACTCCCTGGTTGGCCTGCAGCAGCCTCCTGAGCCAGGCCTCCCATTCTTCAGTGACAGCGAGGACCTCGCACGGAGTCGGGCGCTCAGGGCCTCTCCTTCCAGGGAACAGGCGGCCAGAGGGCAGCATGGGAGGGGAGCCAGACTCCAGTCCCCGGGACCGGGCCACCTCCTTCACCTGAGTCACCCCAGAGGGCAGCGACCACGGGAAAGGATCCATGGCCACGAGGCAGCACCGTCCTCCCGGGAGCCAAGGTGCACAGGACTGGTTTAGGTGTGAAATTCAGCCGAGTGCGTGACACCCGTCCCCAGCGGCCAGCCTTCTCCCATCCCGACAGCTCCTGCTCCAGCCGCCCTGGGCCCAGCAGCACGGGTCCCTGCCTGTCCACCTCTTCAGGCCCCGCACATAGCACCTGCACACCGGCCTCCCTCGCAGGGCCGTCCTGGCCGTGCCCCGGGCACAGTATAAGCCTGGGTGACATGAAAGGTGGGCTTTTCCCTCGGGAGCATGAGAAGGCACTCTGCAGGCTGCACGCAGTCGGGAATGCTGTCAGCAGTACCTAAAAACAAATCACGAACTGCAGGCTCATCACGTGAAGGAGATGGGCCGCTTCCTGTCGCACAAGACCAGATCCTGGCAGAGGCCAAGGCAGGCCTGATGCTCCCCGCACAGCATTTACCTGGAGAGCCAGCAGTGACTCCTGGCCCAGGAGCCAAGGAGAAGCAAAAGTTGCTGCTGGCACCTGACACCCACCAGCAGCCAGGAAGTGGGGACAGATGGTGCCACTAGGCTTCTGGTAGCCCCAACCAGGTGGAGCCACCAGATGTGGGTCAAGTGCCACAGCGAGCCTTTTTAAAAGTAAACTTCACTTTTTCAGTTTTAGATTTATAGGTAAAGCACCGAGATGAACATGCTTTTAATATACCACTGCTCTGAAAAAGGAAAATGGGTCCCCGAGAGATCAGAGGAGCAATCAGCAAACCCTAGCTCACAGCAGAGGGCCACGAAGCCGGAGATGCCGTGAACACTGCCAGCAGGGCCTGGGAGGTGAGGGAAGCTCAAGCCCAGGACTCGCTCAGCGCAAAGGGAACCTATCATGGGCCAGAGTGAGGGGGAACACAACAGAGTCCCAGACGCTGCAACACTGAAGAATCAGCCAGCTGTGCCAGGCGAGCAGAGGATGCAGGTGAAGCTGTGACCGTGGAAGTCACGACTCGGCGGCGAGGCTCAGCAGGCCCAAGAGGCGGGGACGGTAGGAGGCAGCCGAGGACCTGGGTCCCTGACGTACAGGAAGCAGACTGTGCCCTGGGGAGCCCTTGGCCACTGCGGCCTGAGGAGAATCCTGCCGCCCCAAGATCACCACGAAGCCAGGCCATGGCCCTTCCTGCGTGGCTCCCGGCCCCGCACACTGGCAAGTCCTCATCCCGGCGGCGGCGACTGTCTGTGTCCAGCCAGAGCCAGAGGGGAACCGATCTTGGTACTGCCTGGGTACAGAACCACACCCCGCCCAAGTTCATAGGCTCCCAGGGCAGCAGGGACAGCTTTCCCTGCTGAGGCTGATTTGCAACAATGTGATTCACAGCTACCAGTGATCTAACTGCATCTGTCTGAAGCCGAGCCTGAGAGGACAGCAGAGTGTGCTCCCGGCATGCGACAGCCGAATGACCCCTGGCCCCTGAGCCTGGGACAAGGCCAGCAAAGCTGCTAAGGAACACACCTTGTCGGGGCTGCGTTCCAACAGCAGGTGAGGTTTGGGGCCACCTCGGGCCCAGGAGCAGCAGAGGGTCTGAGCTACAAAGGGGCTGCAGGCAGGGCCGGTGCTGGCAGGGAGCACCCTGCTCATGGGGCACTGGGGCGGGGCACAGGCTGGGGCACAGGGAGGGGACCCCCAAGTCACTCCCACTGCCTGGGGACCGATGACATGCCTAATTCCCACCAAACTGCACTTTTCCTGGGCCCGGTTTGCCTTTTCTGAGCACATCCTGCTGACAGAGGGGAAAGCAACCCAAATGCCAAAGACAGAAATTTCCAGACAGCACCTGCAGGCAGGACTCCTGCAGGTCATGGTGACTTTTTAAGTGCGATTTCCGTCACACTCGCCTCCTAGCAGGCCGTGGGACAGAGCACTAACGTGGTGGTGGCACACACCCAGGCAGCAATCTCGGGCATAAACGTCGCTGTTTTGTGACTCTCAGAAGCACCAGTCACGGCTGGTTTGTCCTGCTCAGAAGAGAGGTCAGGAGGAGATGGAGAGGCAGGACACTCAGAGCCCTCGAGGGGCTGCCTTTCATCTGGAAGAGGCACAATTCAACTCTGAAGAGAAACGGTGAAAGTTCTGCCATCACTGTCACCGGGAGAAATAATGCAAAATGTCTGTAGAACATGGTCACAACTATGTACCTTTTAAGAATTTCTACAACGTGGAAAGACACTCAATTACCTAATAGACAAACTGTCCACAAAGGAAACATATTAAACATCCGCAGCAGGCAGCTGCCCTTGGATGGGTGGTTACGGTTTCGTTCTGACAGATCAAAGCTATTCCTATTCCAGGTGCACAATGTGCCATTCCGGGCAGTGCACACTGTGAAATGATTACCACCCGTGAGGTGGGGGTCAGGGCTGCAGTGCTGGCGGGGGTGGGGAGGGGCCCATCTGCACCCACCATGGAAAACGGTACGGGACAAACGACAGTGTGACCAGCAGCCCCTCCTGGGTGTCCGCACCAAAGGAAATAGTCAGCATCTGTAGGAGACAGAGGCACACTGGTGTGGCCTGCAGCAGCGTTCACAGCACCCACAGGCCAGATGTGGAAGCAGCCTGTGCCTGCTGACAGCTGGGTACCCGGGCAAGGCCAGCGAGGTGCACACATGTTTGGCTGAGACAGGGAGATCCGGCCGCTGGTGACAACATGGGTGAGCCCCAAGAGCGCTGCGCTGGGTGACAGCAGCCAGAAGGGCACAGGCAGGAGCTGTGGCTCTCCCTTGTACATGGAGCCCAAAACAGTGAGCTCACAGGAGCAGATGGAGGGCGGTGGCCAGGCCGGGCTGGGCTGGTGGATGGAGAGGCGGTGGTGGGTTCCGAGGTGCAGAGTCCTAGAGGCCTTGCAGGCAGCATGTGACTGTGGTTTATATCACTGTGCTGGATCCTGGCCCACATTTCCTTTTTAACAAGCAAAAGGACAACTGGAGAACAGAACCACGGAGAAGGTCATGGCTCACACTTCCAGGCTCAAGCGAGGAAGACCTTTCATGATCCAAGTGGGCAGGCACCCTAACGAAGGCCCCACAGTCTGCACTCTTCCGTTCCAGCCACCAAGGGAAGAGCGTGGAGAGGGGGCAGTGGCTCCGTTTGGTGCAGGGTCACCGTGGTGGTCAGGGAAGCGCTGACCAGCCCAGAAGGGGAACAGCGCACTCAGGAGTGCAGCTGGGCTTCTTTTCAAAGTGTGTGCGCACATGTGTGTATGTGCACGTGCGTGTATGTGTGCATGCGTGTGGGGAGAGTGTCCGTGCAATGCCAAAGAGCTCCACAATCTGGATAAGATCAGAAGAAATGGAGTCAGGGCACAACCCACCCTGGCCGCATCTTCCCAGGAATGTCACCAGGAATGCTCCTCTCGCAGTCCTGGCAATGCCTCAGGGCCTCACTTGGATCCTACGGTCCTAAGGACCCCTGCGATAAGCACACTGCACCCTCGGTGCGGCGCGGGCTGGGGCTGCAGTTAATGCTCAGTTGGAGGCAGGGCTGCGGTCTTGTCCCTGACACCCCCCCATTCTCGGATGAACGTCCCCAGGCAGGTGGCAGTGACAGCTCAGAAGCCCAGCTGGGGTTCACAGGAGAAGCGGCCTCCTGCAGCAGCACCAGAGCCAACAGCAGTTCTCCTCGGGGGAGTGCGGGCCGGGAGACGCCTTTGGGACTGGGCGACCCTGCTGTGCCCACACGGCCTCCACCACTAAATGCTGCCATCGGGCTGACCTCCGACCACGCTCCCAGCAGCCCTGGCTGGGTCCACAAAGGACCCCAGGCTCTGGGGGATGTGGGGTGCGGGGACTCGGAA